AAATATTCAAGACTCCTGTTGCAAATGCTGTTTAATGACCATCTTTGAAAATTGGGTTCTAAATCACTTACTGAAAAAACCCTTCCTGGGATGTGTAGCTTTTGAGATGCAAGCTGAGGTTTAAAGGCTGGTTTAGTTACAGTGAGACTGTCAGTGGAAGGCTGAGGCAATTGCACTGACAAGGTGAGCTCTTCCAGTGAAACCTTTGACAAGCAGAGAAGCCAATATTGATATTAATTAACTTACAGCAGCACTCTTGGAGCTCTAAACAAAATCACAGCTGTGCTAGATTTTGTACAAACATAATAAAGGATGTGTACTTACAAGCCAAATAGACAAAACAGACAAGCAATAGAGTGAAGGAAGTGTTGTCATCCCCATTCCATAGTATGAGGCCAGAAATTGATAGAAATCCAGACTTTTCACCTTTTGCACTGCCTTTGTTTCCCCGCTGGTATAGAAAAGGATATAGAGGACACTTGGCTAATCCTGACCCTTAGGTGACAGCTCAGTGATGTCCTGTTCCATCAGGTACACATTTACCACCCTACACTTAGATCAGGGAAGATTGCTACTTGCATTAGGAGATATTTCTCTTCCCTAGGCTTGATCTTTTGTTTATTAAATCATTAGCTGCATTAAATAATACAGATATAAACAATTTTTCTAGGGGCTTCAACTAGATAGAATTAATTACATGCTCTCAGAACAAGGTTTCAAATGAAAGCAGTCCTGGCTGCCTCAGCTGGAGCACAGCTAACCCATGTGAGTCTGTGGTACTTGCAAACCAGACTAGGTATGGCTGCAGGCAAGATTTAACTTGCATGAACCATGCTCTGCTGTGCCAGTACAGAAAGTCTATACAGGCCCAGAAGGATAATTTCAGTAATTAGAATTCAGATTTCAGAGAAATGTCTCTATTTGGAGATTTCCCAGCACTTAAAGTGAGGGAGGGCTGAGAATCACACTTGTAAGTACAGACACCAACAGTTCTGTTCTGTGTGCCTAGATCCTCATGAAGATGTGAGTCTATATGGGACTTTTTGTGACTCCACTGCAGAAAGCAGAGATTTTATCCTACACTGTTGATTTTGTGGTGATGTGTGGGAATTAAAAGTTTACAATGCCTGAATCGTGATTTACTACTCAGTATTCCTAGGGACTGGATGTGTATTTCTTTCTACTCGTTCCCCCAGCAATTTGGGATTTATCTTTTGATCCATTTTCATTTCAAACCACATAAGAAAAGCTGTTTTCAACTGCTTTGTATTCAGTGACAAATTCCTTATTACCAAACGCATTCTGACTCTTGCTAAAAAAATGATGCACTTGATAGCACACAGGGATTTAAATCCCATCCACTGCTAGGGGTACTTGTGCAGATTAATGCACAGTTCCCAGCAATTCTTGGGCCTGATTTCTAGAGGCTGGCTGAAGTCAAAAGTTTCCCTTCCAGATTCTGAGTACAGCAAGTCGAAGCATTCTCTGGGTCCAGGTTCTGATCCGGTCCTCATTTCAAAACAAAAACCACCACAGCACATGCCCTACCACACCCCAATCCCCCACCCAACAAAACCCAAAAAGGACAATACAGAGAAGCTGCCAGAGTTTTGATTTCCTTCCTATCTAGAGCATTATGATCTGAGATATTAGTACAGCCTATCTAAATATATCAAGTAAACTTCACTGTGGTGTAGAATTGATTAAGAGCTTTTGAATTTGTCTTCATGGAAGAGTAATCATCCTAATCTTTAATGTATAGAATAAAAAGATGCAAAATTAAGCAGAAATAAAAGCATACAATATTTAGAAGACAAACAAGGAACAGAGAGCATCCAGGGAATGTGGGACAGAAGAGAGACTGCAGGAAATAAAAGACAAGAGGAGAATAGAGAAAAAAGTGGATAGCAAGAAAAGATTTAAAAATACTAAGAAAATATTTTTCTGGGCATCCATTAGCTCTTCTCACAGAAATGGAAACCTGAGAATGTTAAAAGGGGAAAGATATATGTACAATTATCAGGCTATTTCTTAGAGGCAGTTATAGTAATTTATACATATTTTAAGCTTGCAAATTCTACTGGCAATAGCATTAGATTTAGAAGGTCTTTCGAAGAAGTCAAGGCTGCAAACTTGAAGTGCATATCTATGATTAATTTCAGTCATCTTCACTGTCTCATATAATTTGGTGTTCTTTGTTTTTTCAATATTTAATATTTAGAAACAGCATTCTACTTCATGTCAAGTGTATCAGAGTTAATTCTAGAAGGCCACGATTTTCAGTGCCAGGGGCCTGACATTAGGCTCCCAAGCCTATGTTTGGATATGAAATAATTAACCACAATTTTAGAACTGACTGGACTGAGTTTGCTTAGTTCATATTGTATACAATTACAGAAGTGTATTGCTATTTTAATACATTAAAGAAATCTCCCATATAATGCAAAGAATAATTTGCTTATTTTCCCACAGGACTTTAAATCACTTGGTAATATTGTGGTATCCAGACTAATTCCCAATAGTGAGATGCAATTCCATGAGAAAAACAGCAATTACATCTGACCACATATTTTAAATGAGGGCAAAGACCAAAAAAAATGTCAGCTCAGGCTCTGTGAATTCATGTAGCATAGAAGCCTTCTTTTCATTCTCATAGGTGAAAAATCTAAGCTGATCTCCTTATTTATTGTTGCTTTTTTTCTGGCTTTAAATGTAATACTCTGGTTAGGATGTCATGTGAGAATCTTCATTTGTCCCGTATTATAATAATCTGTTGTCTGCAAAATAAACAAAACAAAATGTCTAGCTGTCTCTGTAGCTCTAAGGATGAGAAATTATGGATGCAGAGAAGCTTCAGCACACCACAAATTCTGCAGAACTCAGGAAACAAAATTTGGATTTACAATACCAGTTAATTTCTGTTGTCAGTGGAATTAGCTATTAGTTATATCCCTGCTACTGAATCAATATCTCAGGCAGAAACTCTGGTCCTATCTTCCCCATGGCCTCCTCCTTTTCACATTTGCTATTACAGTCCTTTGAGTCCTGGGTGAAATATTTTGTTTTCTTAGCTCAGTCTTTAATAACACATCACAGCTCCAGCACACACATTCAGAAGTGGTTTCTCAGCTCCAGTAAGGTGAGAACTGCATGAGGGCTAAATTACTTCTGTCCCAGAAGTGACCTTTTCTGAGGTCAAGTTAAGCTCATTAGGAGTGTTGTGAAGCCTGTGCTGTAGCTCTGCCTTTCAGCTGCACCTATCACGTGTAAATATTCTGGATTGTTTTATTTCCAGATCTCTGCAGTCCTCTAGCAAATGTGCTGCTGCTGGGTTTATCTCGGCCAGGTGCTGATGCTGGTGGACACATCTAACAAACCAGCACAGTCTAATAAACAGTGCCCGTGACTGTGTTCAGGAAACAGATTCCTTTCTCTTCTGACCTGGGTTATGAGTTTGGGACCACAGCACCGACATTTGTGTCACTGCTGCATTCTTCACTGCAGCCACTGTCCTTCCCCTGCAGCTCTGCAGGGCAGGGCTGTCCCACACTGCTCTGTTTTGGGGCTGAGCACAGATAAGGCCCTGGACACTTCTGCACATGGCAATGGTAAACCCTCTGTCAGATAGATGGTTAAACCTCTGGGTAATGATTCTTTTCCTTTTCATATGTAAATGTTTCCCCTTTAATGAAATGGAAATACCTTACTTGCTTTATTCCAAACTAATGAATAGGGTTAGTGTCTTCAGAAGCTTTTCTTTGCAATTTAAAGGCCAAGAGGACAAAAGAAAAGAAAAGAGAATCTACTATTCATTCTGTCTCTTTGTTGAGTCACCACAAGGATGGTTATTTTTAATAAAAAGATAGAAATATTTATGCCTGAAGGATTCAGGTTTGTTGAAGCTCTAGAGCTATGATGGAAAGAAATGTCTTTTATTTTTTTGGTCCATTCAGTATTTACATATAAAAAGCATCGACTTTTCATATAGTTCCTGTCATTGTCTCCAATTCAATAAGAATGCATGCAAAACATTCACAGGAAAGAATGTTGAGGTATGTAATTATTAATATTAAATATTATTTGAAAATATAATATGATATGTTATTACCAAAAGCAAAACTATTGTCAAGAATGAAGCCTATCAGAAAACCAGTAAAGAGGTCTTAAATTAATATGCAGTGAAAGACTACATTTTCTTTGCATCAGTAAATTCTGGTTTAGCTTGGTGGACTTGCTACTATATGGGATCTTGCAAGGTATTCGGGGGTTGTTGGTCACCTTAGCTATGGGATTCAGATTTGGGTGATAATAAGGTGTATTATTTATCATCCCTCACTGCTTTCCATACTTTCTTGTGTCTTTCATCAGCACAAGCCTCTGTTCAACTTAAAACATTTTTCAATTGCATTTCTCCTCAGCTCTTAGTATTAGCCATAATCAAAAGATGTCAATTCTTCCACTGCACCCCTTTAAAGAGCCAGTTTTACTTTTTTCCCGTCCATATGGGATGGGGAAATGCCACCCAGGTTATCATCATCTTGCACATCACTCACTGCAGTCTCCTCTCCCTTCTGGGTTGTTTCCCTGTACCCAGTGTGCCAAGTAAAGCCTTTTCCAAGTGTTTCCAAGTGTTCCATAATGCAGCACAGGCAAGATTCACTGGAGTTCTGTAATCCCATCCTCCACTACCAACTGCAGTACCTCAGCTCTGCTCTTCTGTCAGCAATTAAGGATTTCCTAGCACAGGTTAACAGCCTGATTGTCTCTCCCCAGAGATACAGATCTAGTCTCAGCTGTTAGGAGTGGCAGTTACAAGGCATCTTAAATTACAAACTTCAGAAGTTCCTTAATTTGAAAAGTGATCCTAATCTTTTCCCAGCTCTTCTCCTCATTTCTCACCTAGTAGGAAATAAGTGACACAAGAAACATTTTTACACTCAAAGCTGTCTAATGTACATCAGATCATTGCCATATGTGCTCAGGTTTGGTTTTTTTTACAGAGTTGGCGTAGATCCAGATGAAGATCTGAAAGCTAAAGCTGCGAGCCAGGTATGTCAGGCTTTTGGACATACACACTGAATTTAAAAGTGTTCAATGTTTGGCAGATCATGGCTACATCTGTGGAAATGAGACATCTCAGAACAAAGTTTAATCCCTCAGAATTAAAAAGGAAAATGTGTAATGTTCAATTCTAGTAGGTCTATTTTTCTGTTATTTTTCACATGGACGCCTAGGTACATTGTGAACTTGAAACCTCCAAAGGGGGCTCCTGAACAAGCTGCAGCTGTTCACCTCTGCCCTTCCATTTTTTGTCATATATGTATGGTGCAGTTTCAAATGCAGCACTGCGTGCAGCAGCAGGAGAAATCTGCAGAGCCAGTGCTCAGAGACATGACCTGAGGCTCAGCATGGTGAGTGGAACAGCAGTGAGACTGAGGAGAAGTCACAGTACAGCTGACAAGGTGCCAAAACAAAAAGCCAACAAGTGCCTAATGCTGGTGACACTGTCCCATGTACCCTTTCAGACAACACAACTGGAACTGAAATTTAAATCATCCAACAATAACATCAATGTAGAAAATAAGCTGAGGAAGATACAAGATACTTTATTCATTTGAAAATAAATTAGAGATATCATTAGGCAAAACTTTAATTTATCTTATGTACTGAGTATTCCTAACATTTACACATATCCGAAGGCACAGAAGGTGAATCTCAATTTTTATTGTAACTAGTAGAATTCAGATGCCTAATTATCCTAATGTTTCTTTTAAAAGAAGGAAAGCCAATATTTTTCACACTGACTACATCTGCATTTTACAATCCAGTCACTGTTCATAAAGGTTTAGCATAACCCTCCATTGCACCATGGCAAGGCATTGTTTTATTCTGAGTCTGAGGAGACTCATGCTAAATTCACTTTCCTAAGCCTCTTGGTAGGAATTCCTGCCTCTGTCTGTATTCTGAACAAAAGCAGGACACAGAACTATAGTCTATTCTTAATTGGAGTATAGAGATACAGAATTGCAGAAATTTTCTGCTTTTCAGCACTCATGAATTATCAAAGATCAGGGAATTCAGAATGCAGCATAAAATTGATTGAATGCATGTTTTGCAAAAGCCCGATTTCTTCAGAGGCTGCTAGGCATCTAATTTCCTCATTCTTTTACTGAAAAGAATAATTTTTATTTACAACAGTAACACATCCAGTGTCCCAACTGTGCTATGTGAATTAACACCTATCCCTCCTGACAAAGCTGAGCAATAGAAAACAGAAGGTGTAAATAAATATAACACTTTTCATGCCCTATCATGTCCAGTTCAGCATTCCTTATAGTAGTATATTATACCTTGGAAAATAGTTTTGCTGTTCTGATTATTCTTCCGTCCTCCCATTGTATTTTATTTTCATTTGTCTGATTTTTTTTGGTGTATTTGACATCTCAATCTTTTAGTAATTCAGACCTTTGCAGCACTCTCTGTAACACTCACTGTTTTAACTCAGTACCTATCATAGTTATTCAAGTCAGATTGTTTCTTCTAATTTTCTCTCTCATTCCTCTTCTTCCCCTGTTTCCTCTTTTCTCTCCCTTTATTTCCAAAACAATATTTGTATTTAGTTTACCTTTCATTACTTCTTATTTTCTTCCTATGTTCCTGTGTTTTCACAGCGAAAGCAGTTGATTTTCCTGCACACTATCCCTGCACAAATAACGTGTCAGGTGCCAGTACCTCCCACTGCCAGTTAAAGCTCTTGCCCAGATGAACTTTAAACCATGTGCCCACTCTCAGTGCTGGTAATTGAAGCTTCAGGGGAGATTGTACCAGAAAGAAGAAGGAAATACCTTCCAGAATAAGATGTTTGAAAGAGAGCAAAAATTAATGGAAAAGGAACCTCTAGGCTTCTCCCTGCTCAGAGTACTCAGCCAGAATGGGAAAGCTACAAGGTTCTGCTACTGAGATTTGAATTTAGCTCTTCTGTGACCATTCTAACTACCAGGACATGGGTACCTTGCTGTGGGAACCTTTCAATCCATGTCTGTAACCATACCTAGATATTTTTTTAGGGGCAGAGTAAGCCTTAACGGCCTTCCACCTCATGGCTACTGTGTCAGATGCAATACCAGCTATGTGGCTGCAAAACCCTTTTCCTTCCTTACCTCTTCATCTTTATCTCCCTTCTTTCCTTCCTTTGCCTCTCAAAAATTCAATTTTCTGTGAAGAGATTTGATTTATTTGATAATTCTATGTATACAGTTATTTCTAAACTTCTGATTATGTTCTGTTTTGGGCTACCTGAACCAATAATTTTGGCAGCCAGCTGGCAGCAAATTCCAGCTGAAATTGTAAGACCTGGAACCCAGAGCTCCTTCCCTAGAAAAGGTGTAGAGCCTTTCCATGCATAATTAACACCTGGACTTCATCATACCATGATCCATCAAAAGCATATCTCAGTTTCAATTCTGTCTTGCCACCCTTAAATCTATCATTAAATCATTATCACAGCACAAGCATAAACAAAGAAAGTAGCCTCATATTCATACCATTTACTTATTGATGGGCTATCATAACTTAGTTCTGAAAGAAATTTAAAAATACATACTAAAGTAGTATATATTGTTGTGTAGAAAATAGTATGTAAAAACAAACCACTTTGTTGCATATCATGTACATTCAGTGTACAAACACCAAAAGCTAACTCTGAAAAGCACAACTCAGGACACACAATCACTAAGCAGAGTTATAAAGTTGGTCTATTTAAAAAAGGCAAAAGCTTCATGGCAGTGAGCTATTTAACTAAATTCCCATTTTAAAAAACAGTCAATAGCATATTTCATTCAGATGGCTTATGTATCTCAAATTCTGCTATGTTAACCACGGTTGAGAGAGGGTAAGAATATATTTTCTACAAGCACTTCAGAAAAAGTGTTGTAGATGTGCTATTGACCTCAGAAAAAAACTAAATAGCCTGCAAAATGTTTATCAATACCATCTCTGTCAAACTAATCTGCATAGTTTATTCAACTGTCCCTACATCTTAGTTACACTGTTCTCATCAGTTTCATCTGCCAGCTGGTTGGTGAATTTATTGCAAGGACTAATGAGAGTAATCTCCATATGGGCAATTCCCATATGGAAGAAGAGATATGAGAAATTTTAGCATTTTCCCTTCCCAGAGAGAAAATTGTTGGAAGAGATAGAGCACTGTCTCCCCTACTTTTACCTCTCTGAACTGTAGGGAAAGTGAAAAGTTAATTTTAAAACCATAGGATCCAAAACAGGATCCGAGGATCTGCAAGAGCCCAGAAACATCCACACCAACCTCTCCTGTCATCCCTTGTACTGTGTCTGCAGGGGCTGCACTCCAGATAACCACCCAGATTCCCACAAAAGCTGATAACAAAACACAGATTTCATATGCAAAAGGAGCAAGGTGCAACACGTGTCAAACTAGAAATAAAAGAAGGCCCAGGTCAGGACCAGAGAGCCCTTGGGGGATTAACTCCTGTGTAGACATCTCTGTCCCCTGCTTTCACACAGAAACAATTCATGTTCCCGAATGAGGAAACTTTTTCCTTAAGAACCTAGAGGTACAATGAGCTTGGAAAGAGGAATTAACCAACAACAACACTACTATTCAAAGGACACAGGCCATTTACAGAGCTCAGAGCTTTTAACAAGCTGTCCTCTGCCCCACACACAAGCAGCCCACTCCACAATATGTTTATTTCCATGCCTGTCCTTCTCTTCCTCATCTCTACCCCTGTGTGTTCAAGTCCTTCCCTCTCCTTTATAAAGTGTTCTTATTGTTCTGACCTAACACAGATTTTACCTACAATCACACTTCCTGCCTAAATCTTTTAATCATTTTCCCAATCTTTATCTTGCCAAAGTGCACCATTAGATGTTTAGAGCTTGGAAGAGTGTTCTGCTGCTCAGTTAGGGATTAGTACAATTCTCTTCCCCCATCCCAGCTTTCCCAGCTACTGGGAAGAGTTGCTAAAATACTCAACTCAGTTAACAAGGAAACAGATCCCAAGAATCATATTTGTTCTATTTGGTGCATTTGCATGTTCAGTGTGACCACATTAGCAAAATCATAACAGCTACAGCATGGATTCTGTCTAATCTTATTCAAAACTCAATGACATCAATGTTCCCATTGTTCCAAAATTCCCATGAACAAGTTTCCTTGGAACTAGAACATGCACTTTTGAGAGTCAGACCATTGACATTATCATCAGCCAATGTATGAGTATATTAGTCTATAATAAGGTATTATATTTTAATGTATTATTAGATTAAAACATGAAAATTAACTGATTCATAGGTTTAAAACTGCATAAGGAAAAATATTCTCGTTTAAACTAACCTAACTTACCAAAAAACAAAAGCAAGACAACAGTTGAGTATCCTTTGAGAACTGGCCATCCCATTACTAATTTCATCCTGCTAGTAATTCTTCCACTAGAACTGATGTGATACTTAGAATATGACCAAACTGGCTGTCTTAGTACAGATAACTGCTCCTAATTTATTATTCCAAAGTATGACCCTGAGGAAAAGGATAGTCCACCTCTCTACCTGTACAGCACGTCACAGAATCAGCTTGCAGAATGGAAAGGGTATTTTGAGCCTTGTCAATTCAACTCATGTTCCCCTCTCCTTGGAAAGAAGCATAAAAAGGACTTTCCTAGTTATTAGAATATCTCAATCCCTTTGGGAAAGACAATTTGTTAGACATATACAAACAGCTTCTGATCTTGTAGGGGTAAACTGAAGGAATCCCACAAAACTAAATCAAAATATCATTTTATTGATCTCAGAGTATAGCGCTTCTCAACTGCTTAAAAAAACCTGGGATCATTCATAAAAGTAAATGCTACATCCTTCCAATGAGTGCAGCAATGTGAAATGTGCTGCATGAGCCAATTTTTTCCTGAACGCATTTGCAGGGATGACATTTGTGTGACAACAAAGCTTTTTAAACTTAAAAAAACCCGTGCAGTTAATTGTAATTTGGTCTGACATGTATTTTTAATATTGTAACTCCATGCTTTATTTATTTTATAAAAATGCTTCTCACTGCATTCATTCATTTATTTTTCAGAGTGCATCTGACTTGGATAAAAATACAACCAAAGCTGAGAGTGCGTGGCTGTTCAGAATATGGTATGGCTTTGACCACAAGTATCCTTTTCTGTTATAAACCATGAATGAGAGTTGCACTACAATTTGCCTTCAAAACGTTCAAGAATCAAAAAATATTATACTTTTAAAAGCCAAAACAAAAGTCTAATCTATTTTAATGCACTCTCAAGAAGTAGAAATTTTGCAAGTCCAAGGCAGCAGAAGGTCCAGCTGTGACTGAGGGTACAGTGAGAGGGAACAATTTAAGGAGTTCTGTGCTATAGTATATCGACAATACATTAAATTAACCTTCTTAAATTCCTGGATAAAACTAATCCAATCATTATTTAGATAGAGTGTAGAGTCTGTGTTTGAGGAAACGGGGAGATTGGAGCCAGAGCAGCCAAATGCCTGCTGCCTGACCATATACTCAGAAAGCTACTTAAGAAAAAAATAAGACAACACTGGTTTACCCACACCTCTAATAAAACACAGAAAGAGGCATCCATTATGAAAACTCCCAGGACTTTCCTGAAGCTCATGCCTCCTGATCCCTGGATTCCTGAGCCTTTGTGCTTTTATTCACGTTCCTACTGAGGCATGTGGAGAACAGACCTTGAATATGGGTGTCTGATGCTTTATTCCAGGAAGTCTGATTTCCATGTCTTTTGCATTTCAAGAAAATATTTTAAGTGATAAAAGAGCATCCTCCCTAAGCCAAGGCAGAACATACAGTCTGACTCTAATGCCTGTGCAAAAACTGTAAACGCTACCATTCTAATTTATTGTAATTTTAAACTGACTCTGCACAGGTTTTGCATAGCTGCCAGTGAGATGCCACAGTAGCAATCCCACCCTAAGCCTTGAACAGAGATGCACAGTGAATAGAAGAGAAGCCACCTGCTGATTTCTGTGCATCCAGGCTCAGGAGCTGAGCAGGCAAAGCCCTGCCAATGCTGTCTCCATTATCCAATAGCACATCTAATAGCACCCTGCACTACTGAGCAGAAATTAATGTTCAGGCTGCATGTGTTTTTCCTGATACCAGCTGCAGCAAACTAGAATGAAATATTTCAGCTGATAAAATGCAATTCTTTGGGAATACAGCTTCCTTGGAGAGTTCAACTGAAGTTACCCTTCAAAGAGATTTCTGATGGAAAAACATCTTTTTGGTTAAAAATTGATGTTTTTCCTTAATTCACCTACTCAAGCAATTTTAAAGGCCAAAAAGCACTTGGCATTAAAATGTTTCCCTCGGATAATTATTGAAGAATACATAGAATTAGTAGGTAAATGTTATATGAAGTGAGAAAATATGTTTAAATGTTAATGTTGAGTACCAACACGACTGTCTTTAGCCACCACTGTTTCAGAAGAAATAGCCTGTGGTGTTGGTATATCCTAGAAACTAGAAGTCAAAAGGAACAGACGAACAGGGTGAGGGGAAGGAAGAATTTTTCCTCTGAAGATAAAAAAAAAATAAAAAGCAAGCAAAAAATATGGAAGGCAGGAGCAGGACAGAAGTATGAATTAAAGACATGAAGGAGAACAAGGGCAGAGATAGAAAACAAGGGACAGAGGCAGAAGAGGGAAAGAGAAATCAATATGAAAAAGTCAGACAGCAGTACAAATAAAATGAAAAGTCTGTAGAAGGCACCAGAAGTACAAATTCTCAGAGATTTTCTGTATGGTAGAGATCTTGAATATAGGTGCCTCATGCTTTATTCTAGAAATTCTGGTTTCTATGTCCTTTGCATTTCAAGAAAATATTTTTGGTGATTTTAAAAAATAGTATTTTTTAAAGAACACATTTATTCATGTCACTCTCACTACCAGTCAAGCTATAATCTTTCTTTAGAATTCAGATGTTCAGAGATTATAGCTGTGCCATTACCCTGAAATATATATTTATTACAAATAATACATCTACATTTCACTAATCCTGAAAATGTATGCCCATATTCCTGCATGGAATGATAGTTGAACCACTAATGCTGTGACTCACAGCTCTAAGCTTTTCTTTGGCATGACTATTTCTGAAAGACATTCTTTTCAAGGAGAAAAAAATTATCCACCCAAACTTTCTTTTGCCTTTCCCTGCCTAATGTTATAAAGCCATGTTGCTAAATTTAGAAGAAGAAATTGTCATGTAGCATAGTACTTGTCCCCAGTACAAGATTACAGAGAGGATTATGATAAAGTTTTCAAAGAAAATATACAGCAAACTAATAACCTATCTGTTCACATACTTTGAAAGCACACAAGACTATGACATTTCTATAGTTTGACATTTGCTCTTAGGCATTAACACAAATCTACCCACTCTTCTGGCAATAACATCTCTTATGCCTATTTATTTCACAGGGGGAAAGCAAGAGGGAGGAAATGTCACTAAGGAAATCAAAAAGTTGTGCTGTTCCTTGCTGTCGTTATGAATGATTTCCAATTAGTTCAGTGATCTTAGGCAATGGCAACATACCATGCTAGGGTAGAACTGTGCAAAAAATCCCTGCAATTCTCTTTGAGAATCACGTTTTATTTTTATTCTGAAAGAAACATCAGGAGCCTGATCCAGAGCCAAATGGCCTCAATGAGGATTGTATTATTTCAGCAAAAGTTTCTTTGAATCGGGTATTGACACAGGAAAAATGTACCATTCTCTAAAACCTAGGCTAAGAATGTTAATATTGAAATAATAAAATTGAAGAACAAATTATTTTAGTACATAGAGTTATCTTCTTGGATTTCCATCTCAATAATTTAAACAAGAAAAATGCAAAAAGAATACTTGCATCTGACGGTGGCAACTTCCAGTGAGTCAGCTTTTGTTTTTACATCCTACAGAGCATTACACCACTTGAAGCCATAATATCCTACTGAAGGCTAGTGGGAAAGCAAGGGAATAAACAAAGGTTTTTTTCAAGAATTTATCACGAAAAAGAGACACTGCAGACTTACAATCCAGCATTATATACATATCTTTAAACTGCTGTGTTTTTTCAAAGCAGATATAGGCAAGTTTAGCTAACAAATGAATGAGTAGGTGGAAATTTCATCCTGCAAGGGCACGATTCTGTGTGCATATGGGCAGAGCTCAGGCAAACGGCAAGCAAAATTTTCCCATTCCACAGCATCCCCAAAAAAGTTCTAACTTTGCTCCCAGCTAAGAGCAATTTGCTTTTAACTCTTCTCAGTCCCAGCCTCTCTACTTGCTTACTCTAGCAAATATCCTCCTTTTGCCTGCATAGTCCTAAGACATTGTGTACCTGACTGGAGCTGGGATTCCTCCTCTACACAGGCCTGGAATCCCAGTTACAATTCGATAAATGAAGGGAAATTAGTGTAATAAAAACATGTTGCAAGCAACTTTCACCTGTTTTTCCAGCTGCTCTAAACTCTGCAATAGTTTCTGGCTTCATATAATATTATACAAGGCTCTTCATCCACTAAGGATTCATTCTCTCCCAGAATCCATCTAATTCTCATTTTCTCACGTGGGGGCAATTCTTGTTCTTGCTGGCTGTTCTGTAGCATCCATCAGGAAGATAACTACAATTTTCTCCCAGCTTCTCATGCTCAATAATGAGAAGAGAAGGAAGGACTTGGGATTGCTGCACTAAAACACAAAACTAATGCAAAAATAATGGAAATTGAAGATGAGAAAAGGAGAGTGCAATGCATACACCAAGATATTTCTGGATAGAAATGTTCACCATCTTCATAAGAAGAAGCCCACATTGTGTTGTGGGACACATACTTGGATAGTACACACTGAAACTTGCATTAAGAACAAAATAGTTACTGCATAACAGGAAAACATATGCAAGATGAAAGAGAAGAAATCAAGCAGGGAAGGAAGAGGGACAGAGACATCAAATGCACAGTAAGTTTCTTTAAATACTTTGTAAATGTTAAATTGCAAGACTTTGGATTTTTAAATTGCAAGGTTTTGGATTAGACTTTGCAGCAAAGTCTAATCATGTTTTTGTGGGAAAGGGGTGAGGATGGAAGGCCACATCCTGTGCAGTGCCAGGACTAACATGACCAGGGCACCAAGGCTGTCCATCTCTGGCATGAGTGAGGGGGCAGAGGGAGGCAGGGGGGGGACTGTGATTGTTGTCAGCTGCTGGGATGGCTTCCAGGAGTACTGAAATGACAGATTTCCTGCACCCTTGGTACTGCCCCAAGCTACCAAAGAACAATGCAGCTGCCTAACTTTGCACAAAACTCTGCTTTTTTGAGTGGTTCACACACATTGATGCCTGGAAAGCAGAGGGAGGAAAAGCTTTCTCCTTCTATACAAATTTCTTTTCCATCTGTGGAAATAAGTTACACTGAATAGAAGCAGGTGTATGGGACAAAGTGAGGCAATTCTCTGGAAAGTAACTCCTGAAAGTGTTTCTGTTTAAACTGCAGTTATCCACCATTCAAATTCACGCCTTTCAGTTTGGTTCAAAAAAAAAAGAAAAAGCTGTTTATGTCCATTGCACTTGCCTGAAATCCATCAGCCAAAAGGAATTGCATTATTCGTAGGCTTCAAAAGTTTATCCTCCTTATCAGGGCACCTATCATTTTATTTCTCCTGTGCTTTGTACGTGGATAAAACAGACATAATGGTTGACTATTGAGTAGGATAAGTACTATTCTGTGCCTGGGAGAAAATGGAAAACCTACTAAAAGCAAAAGTGCATTCTAGGGTGGACTGACTGTCAAAGACAAACTCAGCATTTGGTGGTCTTTTCAGCTGAATTTTCTTTCTGGGCTAGCTTGTCACTCTCATCTCAGACATCTTTGGAAAGAAAAGGCAAGGAAGAGCCTGAAAGCATGCACGTGCACACTGTTTTCTTTTACCTGCTGGAGAACTGATATTTCCTTAATTACCAATACTCTGATTCATTCTTCTTTTAGCACTTCAGTGAAAACAGCAAAATAGCACATAGGGACCTACTTTTGGCCCAGAAACTCAATTTGCTACACAGTTTTCAAACAGAAAAGAATCTTATCTAAGAGACAATTCAGTCCAATCATGAACCAAAGCATTAGAGATAACACAGCTCAAG